ACTCCAATTAGGAGGTTTCTTGGGTTAGAAACCTGTGACCTGCAACGAGTTGTCATAGAAACCGATATGAACATTTCAGCTCAGAAATCACTAAAATAATGGGTTTGTTCATCATCTCGTGCCAGGTGACATAGCTCCTTTGAATTCAAGATCTGGAGTCCATCCCTACACCAAAAATCCTCTGCCAACCCTGGGTGACAGGAAGAGAGTGTTTTACTTCTCTTTTTTGCATATGCTGCAGTTGCCTGCAGCACAGATACAGGGATAGTCCCAGGGCAGGAGGATGGACTGGAAAAGGCATCGGAGGGAGCTAGAGGAGCTGCCTGAGTAGCATCCCTGGGAGCAACCAGAAAGCAAGCCTGGCCAGGGTGTAAGTGAGAAGCTGGAACATGGTAACGCATACGTGTGCCTTTTATTTTCTATGCACCACCTCCAAGAACTGTGCTCATTTCCATGAGACAATTTTTTCAGACCTCCCTCTGTATCCATCCTGTGCTGGAATGGAATTGTAAAGCCTTTGTTGTAATCTGTAAATGAGGGACATTGCAGAGAGACTGACAGTGTGTGCTTCCCCTGTCATGGCTTGTTTAATGGCTCCCTTTCACGCACACGCTCTCCTGTCAATGCCTGCTGTATGCAGGCTCCTGGTGCTCACTTCTTGCTCTGTTGTCTTGGTTGAGGAGCTCTGGGAGCCTGTGGTCACCCTGGATCAGGGTTACACTGGCTTCTTCTGCAGTGCTGCATTTCTTGTTCATATTCTTTCTCAGCATATGCAGGGCTCAATAGGAGAGTTTGCCATGTTTGTCAGTAAAGAAGCTGCTTGCCTTTCTTCTGATTCTCCAGCCATGTGATGAAGCCCCTACAGCTTTAGAGCCTTTAGAACAACGAAAGGGTAACGAGTCCTCTGATCACCTGCAGAGAGAGGAGTTGATACGGTCATATAAGACATGGAGAGCCAGGGAGATCAGCTGGAATGGGACCAAATTAAATGCATTTACTCTGCAATGTTCCATTAATGCCAAGTAATTACCACATACAGTGGGATTTTTGTTTTGTTTTGTTTTGTTTCATTTTGGCACAAGAGTGTTCTTTCCAAATAGGAATGCATGAGGCTGTCCGGGCTGCTGGGCTCTTTAGGTAAATTATAACAAGCCTTCCCCATTCCCATATGTTCCTCTCCCTTCCTTCTGGCATTTGAAAAGCTGGCAATACAGAGATGGGAAATGCAAATGCAGAGAGGAAGTCTCATTCCCAGGGGCACAGTGATGCTGGTTCTGCCACTCTGGTGCAGACTCCTGGCCTGACTTCTATCCCCAGGATGCTGCCTCAGCAAATTGAAAGTGGTCCAAAGGTGGGTAGCAGAGAAATGTTCCAGCTAGAAGAAAATTTTCATTGGGACCTAAAATTCTCTTGTGGTTGAATGTACAAGCACTGCCTGATCCCACTGGCACCCTGATCTCTGAGAGGAGCACCGCCACAATACAAAAAAATTACTCAGGCTGCCATGAAATTCCTTTGCTAACCATCCACACCGTGCACTAGGGACTGTGTTGAAAGAAGGATGGGGATGGGGAAGGGTCAGAGAGATGCGAAGCTGTCATATGACCATTCTTGTATTGTAGGGCCCAGTCAGCAATAAATGTAACGATACTCAACAGAGTCCGGCTCTTCTCCTCTCTGCTCAGTAGGCTACAGTGAAGAGCTGATAATTTTTCTTAGTTTTGGAAGAGGGGGAAAAAAAAAAAAGCTTTAAGGTCCATTGCCACTCCTGATTTCCTTTCACACATACTATCCCAGTCCCACGAATCCCCAGGTCCCAGCTTAAGGCTTTCAAAATGCTCTCTGAGAGGTGAGTCAGGACCTCTGCCTAAATACCACCATCAGCCCATGGAAAAACATTGCACAGCACGGTGAGGTGAAGCTTACTCCACATTTGGAATGAGGATGGTGGCACCCCCTTTCTCCTCTCTCTCTTGCAGTGACTCTCCAAAAATAACCTGAGTATATTTGTCACTTTATAGGAACCTCATTTTACCACTTGTTCCTCACTAAAAACCCAGGCCTAAAACCATGGTGTGGATCCCAGCTGGTGGGAAGACAGGATGAAACGGGGAGAAGGAGACTCCTTTCCACCAGTGAATACTCATTTTCAAAGGTGTCGTCTCTTCCCTTTCACCGCTTCTCAGTGGTCTGGGAGTGGGGCTGGTTCAAGGTTCACACACATTCTGCTCCAGCCAGGGCCTGCGGCAGGTCTGCCGAGGCTGGTAGCTTTGAGGGATGGAAGGGGGAGAGCTTTTGCATTTCCTTTAGCTGCACTGTTTTCCTGAAATAGCATAAGGTGTTTTGTGGTGAGCATGCACCCAGTCTGGAGAAACGCCGGCAGGCATCCTGTGCTTAGGTCATACTCTGCCTTGATCATTCCTTAAAGTTCTATTTCTTCTCTCTAAAAAAGCTACACAATTTTAAGATAAGCAGAGATTTTCAACTTTTAGTTACAAAAGGCACATAGCAGCAGTATGCTTGCCGTAGACTGAACATGTTTGAATGGTACCGGGCAGTGCACAAACAGTGTAACGGGCGCAGGCAGCAGCACCCTCAGCTTCTTCACCCTGCATCTGATCAGCACTCAGCCAGGAGCAGGCACCGGGACTGAAAAACAGCCACAGCCACTGAAAAACCACACTCAGCAGAAGGACACGCACTCAACTTGAGCTGTTGGGGAGGTTTCTTGTTTCATAGCATCAAACAAACATCGGTCGCTTTACAGAGAGCTGTTACTTGCCACTGAGCCCTAGTCCTCGGACGGGAGAACTTCAGAGCCTCCCCCCAGCCAGATGAGGTCCTCCCAGCACCCCATTAATGAAACCAGTGGTAAGATGGGAACTGTCCAGGATGTCTGCTGGAGGAAAGGTTAAATCCCACACTACCAGGTTTCCTAGCTTGCCTTAGGACCGTGGGCTTTTCGCTCCCATTTCGCTGCTGGGGCTGGAGCGTGTTCAGATTTGGCAGATGTTGACGCTCTTTTCTTTGTCCGGGTCCACTGTCCTTGATGATGGCATTCAAGGGTTCTTTTCCTGGCCTGTATCTGGTCATTCACTGCCTCTGGAACATTTTCTTGTCAATCATCTCCTGCTTTTTTGTCAAGCAGGTATGACTATCTTGATAGTTATTTTATGGCTAATAAGTCTTCTGTCTCCGGTTGCCTCGAAACTTTGATTTCTATAAAAAAGATAGATTTGATAAAGCGCCTTTTGCTCTGTCAGATGAAAATATGCACAAATCTGAATCATGCTGCTGCATTATCTAGCGGATTGCTTGCCCATGGCTAGCAAGGCCACTTTAACACACAGGGTTCATCATGTCTATACAAGATTGGAGAGCAAATTTTATGCTCTTTAAAAAGTGAGGGGGAAGGAATTGTAGAAATCAGTGATAAGGTAAATGACCAGTACCTGCTTTGAATGGGTGCTGCTTTGCTGGAAGTCTCCTTTGGAAATGCATCTTCCACTCCCCAGTTGTCCTATAACAGTGTGCTCTGGTTTTGCATAGAATTGACCCGCATTATTTACATGTTGCATCTAACTGATCATTCCAGACTTCAGATCTGAGAAGATCATTCCCAAGACATAGTCATGCCTTTCATGTTTCTTTGAGAGGGTAGAGATTGTCCTTCTTTACGGTGGTGTAGAGGTAGAATTACACTTGCGTGCGTGGAGGGTGCTAGAGGAATGTCTTAAAAAGCGAAGAAGAAACGGCACAAAGATAAGGCTGCCTTCCATTATGGGTGTCACTGGACTAGACTATCCTAACGCTGGTTCTTTTGCTGAGTTCAGGTTCTGGTCAGGGTCACTGGTTTTAGTGAACCATTGCTGCAAGTGACTGTTGTTTGCCTGACGCTCACACGTTTTGTTGGCTGACTGTTTCCCACAGGTTTATGTTCTGACAGGCCGCTGAAGCTGGCCGTTCTGCCGGCAAGGTTTGGGTGCTCCTGTTTGGACCTTTTACTAGCAAGACATCAAAGACCCATTTTGCCTACTCACAAGCAAAAATGAGAGAAGAGCTGCTTCTTTAGTCTGCCTAAAGTGCTTCTCTCATCTCTGTGACTCTTGAAGAGTTGCAAATAAAAAGAAAAAAAAGTAAAGTCATCACAATTTTTGTGCAAGATTTTTGTCTTTGGAAATAAAATCAAAGAAATTTAAGAGCTGTACAAAAGCACTTGAGTAGTAAAAAGCAAATATGGGAACACAATGGTGTTGGCTGTGGGTAATGGAGATTAATAAATTATGATACCTTTGATTTAAAGCAGGAGTTGTCATCCTGAAGATCATGGCTGCCTGGCTCTACCATTGTTGCTAAATAAGAAAAGAATTGGGATTTGATGGAAAGGAGGGAATCCTCGCTCTTCCTTCCCACTGCTGGCACCCTCAGTTATAAGCAGTGCTAGGTTGACGGGATTTCTCCATGAGAGCTAATTACCTCAAATTATTTCAAAGCCATATGCCTATCTAAACAACTCCTGATAGGGGCTTTTTGCAGTAGCATTTACACCAAGGATGGTTTTTAATTTTTTTCTCTAGATATCACTCATTTTGTTTCCTGTTGTTGACAGAATATATTGTTGGTGTTGCCTCCTACCTTAAGGAGCTGGCATATGATGGAGTATAACAGCCCTAAATCCAAGCTGAAATTCTCCTCCTACCTATTTCCCTCAGTCTCTCCCTCAGATTGTGTTGGTATCACTGGAAGTTGAAGATGTTCGTTTCCTGTCAGGACCCTGCAGGCTCAAGCCTTGCATTCATCAGGAGTGGGCATCTGGGATGTGGTCTGGAGTATTGCAAAGATTGGATCTTGGATATCTGTGTTCTCTTGCCTGGGACAATAAAAAAACTGGACTCAATTAAAATATAATAGGTTGGATGCTATGCTGGATAAAGAACAAGTTCTGGAGTGCGAAAGATGTCATGGATAATTTAACTCACATTTTGATCCTCTCTTTACAGCCACAGAGACTTAAAACCAGAAAACCTACTGCTGGATGAAAAGAACAACATCCGGATAGCAGACTTCGGGATGGCCTCGCTGCAGGTTGGGGACAGCTTGTTAGAAACCAGTTGTGGGTGAGTGTCTGAGAACATGCTGCAAAAATCACTGATAGATTCCAGTCATAAAAGCTGTCTATAGTAAGGGTTTCAATAAAGACCTGCAGACTTACACCATGCATTGTTATTTCCCAGCAAGACAATAAATTGATACGATGCACGTAGTGCATAAGGTAGCTAAAAAGATGGGGGTTTAAGTGCTTTGCAATGAAAAACAGGCCTCCATAGGTGTTACACATGGATATAAAAATCAAGGCTTTCAGGTTTGGATTTGTCTGCATACGCTGGCGTGTGTTTGCTTTCACTGGCCCTATAATTATTGGGAACTGAAAGCAGTAGTGTTGGCTGTTTTAAGAAGAGGCTTTGAAAATATTAGGGGAGTGAAAACCCATAAATCTAGAGGTTCTGAAATGGAATTTGCACATCCTGATTAGGCTGCCTGCTTGCAGCTCTTCCCGTTCGTGTTCCACACTGCTTCGGTTTGGCTCACACGCAGGATTGACAAGGAGGCAGCAGGGTCCCTTGCAATTACAAGCAAGGCATGAATGCAAATACAAAGGAGACGGCTTGCAGGAATATTGCAGGGGCAATCTGAAAACATTGCCATGGCGTTTCAGTTGCCAGCAAGAGCTTTCTAGGAATTTCCAAGGCAGCCAGCAGTAAGCCCAACAGCCGAGCAAAGCCCGGGTGCCTGGCCGGGGACAGGACGTGCTCCGCGAGGGGCAGTGCCCTTTCATCCTCGGAGCCTTGGCTCGGTGCGGTGTTGACGGCGCAGGGGGCTGCCGCAGTGAGCTGTGGCAAGGGCAGCAGCTGCATCGAGCTGCTGCAGCCTGGCACCGCGGCGCCAGCTTTTCGCTGGGTCTGAATTTGTTGTAACGGCAAGCTCGGCAGCTGGAGCCGCAGACAGTACCAGCAGATTTCCACCTCCTCCCCTACAGACCTGCTCTTCCTGGCCTTCAGGAGTGTGACTCTGATGACTCCAGCCCAGCCCTGTCCTTAGCTGGTTGCAGTCCATGTTTTTGCAGTCTGTGCTCTGAGGCAAGGCAATTCAGGGTAGACTCGGAGCCGTCGTGGTTCCCTCTACAGCCCGGCCACTGCCTCAGTCCTGAGCTGTACGGCTCTGCTTTCCACGTCATCAATAATGGATAGCAAAATCATTTGAAGGTCGTGATGTAATCAAATGCTGGTTGATGAGTACACTGAGACCCACCCGTTCCTCCCTGCCCATGTCAAGTCAAGATTTGACCTCTTCACAGATGAAAAGCAAGGAGCTATGAGTCTGCACATCCGTTGCTTGCAGCTGCTTTCAAACCTCCTCTCTAGATTAGGAAATTAAATCCTCCCTGCAGTTACCACAAAGCCTCTATACTCTTTAGATAATTTTTTTCCCCTTCCTTCCATGAAAAAAAAAAAAAAAACCCAAGGAAGTATAAAAACCAACGCAGTCTCACATTGCCCTGTAGGATTTTTCAGACTCCTCAGGAACCTCTCGGTAGGGTTCCTGTTCTTCTTAGCACCGGGCTCTGTCATCCAGGTCCAAAGTCTCAAAGGAAGACTTCTTTTCCATAAGCTGTGCTGGAATTCAAACCGCCATGCTTCAGGCAGAGCCAGCCCCCACTTTGCGGCCTTAAAATGCACTAATAAAGAAATCAATGGAACGGAAGAGATGTGCCTGTAATAAACAGAACACAGCAGCAACGTTATGATCTCCTGCCTTGCAGATGCATTTTAAGTGTGGTGCCAATCACTAGGCCTCCGTGTGAGCTATTACGCCACTTCATTAATTCTCCTGGCATGGAGCCCAGCATGGCTGATATTGGTGTCTTGTGATCTTTCTGGTTTGGGGGGTGAAGGGAGGAAGGAAGGAAGGAATCTATAACAGTATGCCACAGTGTTCACAAAGAAAGGCAATCCAGTTATGACTCCCTTTCCCTAGGAGCACACACAGTAACCAACCTCAGAGCTTTTCAAGACAACAGTTTTACCTACCCTTGTAGTTGGTACTTTCAGCCAGCCCGAAAAGGAACAAAACAGAGTGAATCACGGCTGATACTGAGCTTTAATGAGATGCTCCTCCGTGCACCCAGAAGTTAATTTCCAAAATGGTTTTATCTGTGCTGCGAACACTGATAATGAGATGAAACTGTAACATTTCCATTGACAGTCACGCAAGGAGTCTCCAGGTATTTCTGTCAGTCAGAGTGGGAGGATCAGATGGGGTTGAGCTGTGTGATGCAGCTAACTTTGTCAGTGCAGCAGAGCGGTTAGAGTGCAGTCAAAAATTCTTTGCTGTCACAAGTGAACTGCTAAGTTCAGTCCGAAGTTTGGGCAGGCTTTAGGACACTGCAGAGCCTTGACTGGCCTCATGAAGATAATCACGTGGCCTGAAGTATGCTGTATTGCATACCTTGGATACCGTGCTTTCTGGGAGCTACTCCTTAGAGCTGCACGGTTTTCTGTAGCACCAATGGCTACTTGGAGAAGACAATAAAAGTTCAGTCCAGCTGGGTTTGTGTAGGAGAAGGGAGGTAAGGATGGACTTGCTGTTTCATTGACAATTTGTCACTGTCTGACTGCACGTTGGGCCTTGACTGTAATGAATCGCCATTACTGGAAACGTATATTGCACAAATCCTGCATGTACACAGCACTGCGAAATAAGCTGCAGTTTTAAACGTGTGTCTTTAGATCCTCGAGGGAAAGACGAGCTGTGTGTAGGGTCTGCAGGAGTAATTCTGCTTCCTGCAGCAGCTGCGCAGCAAGGCAGTCTCATGGAGACTGAAACGGTCCTTGAAGTGCCAAAGTAACACGGTGAGTCTCTGCATTCCTCCGGGAGCAGGCGAGGTCTGTGAGCAAACACCAGACATGAAGGGAAGCAGGAGATGTGGTAGGATGCTTCTTCCTCTTTACCCATCCAGGCAATGCTCCTCTGTCTCTTCTCACAGCAGTTCCTCCCAGCGTGCTGCCTCACAGTGTTTCACAGTGGTAGATATGGTCCGATCCATCCTGAATTGTCACTGGGCAAGAAGAGTGTGTGCCTTATGGTTAAACCTCAGGACTGAGACCCAGATGATCTGAGCTGGATTTCTGCCTCTGCTGAAGGCGTTCAGGGTGGTCTGAGACAAGATGCATTACCTTTCTCTGCTTCAGTTCTCCATCTTAGCAGGTCATTGCAGCGCCCAAGTTGCTCTGAACATAAATTGCAGTCATTTCTGTAGGAGTCTTGGAATAGTAGGAAGGTTTGGGGCATTTGCTGGAGCTTGTTCCTTTTTCTTGAACCAAGAGGTCTTGTGGCTAAAAGGAAGGATTGAAAGAGTTGTTGAGTTACAGTTCTTGGGAGTTTGTAAAGATCCTTCCTAATTCCCCAATGCTCCTTACAGAAACCTGGCAAAGTAGATTTTTGCCATCTCTTTGCTCATCACAGCTTCAAAGCACTGAGCCCTGCTGGGGGGAGATTGCTGCGAGCTGCCAGGTGACCGAGAACCCAGAGCAGTGCCAGTCTCTGTGCCGCCTGCCTGCCTGCAGATCTCTCTGTCCCAGCTGGGAGCTAGGGCAGAGCTGACGTTAAATGTAGCTCACTGCAGCACCAGACCCGATCCCTGCAGAGGCAGTCGGTATGGAGACTGACACCACTGCAACAGTCCCCCCCATACTGGTGTCTCCATAGGCAGCCCCAGGCCTGATCCAGAAATCTGTGGGCAGGTGGGAAGACGGATGCTGATTATGATTTTACTGAGAGTGAGTAGAAAGCCTTGCGCCTGTCACGAGCGTAATGAAGGAAAGCATCAACTTCCAACCCCCAGCACAGTCCATTCTTCTGCTCTCCGCTCTCCCTAGCAGTTCGTGCTGTCTAAAATCTATGCAAGTGTCCTACATCCAGTTATTGTTAGGGTTGCAAATTTAGGCTCTTAGAACGAATGTATTACAAGCAAGGCTGGTATTAATGGTTATTAATAAGGTTGTCTGGTATTTCCCTTTAGAATCCTCATTTTAAGTTGCTTATGACTTACCATCAACTTAACAATTTTCCTTGCTTTTCATCTGCCTCAGACTGGTTTCATGTTTGTGTGTGCATGTATGTCATGTATGGGCCGAAACACTTCCACTATCTGAGTCTAATCTAAATTAAATGTTTTTTCCCCTAAAAAAGGAAAATTTCTAGCGCCCTCAACTGCAAAGGGAATACTTGAATATTTGTTTGCATTCTCTAGAAGAATTTGCTCAAACAGCCACTAGAAAACTGCAGCTTGCATTTACTAGCAGAAACTCTAGAGCATCAGGATCAAAATTCTACCTGCACTGGTAACACTTCACAGAACAGTTTTTCTACCTGAAACTGATACTGTGAGCTGCTGTGGCTGGGGTTATCACAAGGTACCAAACTTTAAAACAAAGTGAGTGCAAAACCAATGGGAAATAGATTTAGGACTGGCAGCAACTGACTGGGACAACCAGTATAACATTAACTTAGCTCATGCATGCTAGGATATGGCCATTAATTATGAGCTTGTACAGGTTTTTTCCAACAAATCTTTGCTTCATTTGGTGTTTGTATGCTGTGGGTTTTTGAATAAACGGCTATTTAATGTTTGATTTTTCCTCAACATTCATTTTATGGATCCATTCATAATTTCTGCTCACTGCATTCAAGCCTTGCTAAGAGCGCTAGGTAGGATTTTCGTCTTAGTATTTTAGGTTTACAAATATTAATTATACTGTTTTCGTATTACGTTTAGCACACTGACCTGGTTATCTCCATTTATATGAGGACACATGATTCTGCAAAATGAAACTCAAAATTGTCGGCCAGTTTTGAGTGTGCAGTTGGATACTCTGGGGCCTAATATCTCAGAATAGTCAGTGCTTGATAACAGTCCTTTGCTTGGAGAGCAGAGTGCCTACAGACTGCAGCTGCGGCTCTACCTGCTTATAAATACTGTAAATCAAACTTCAGATGTGTCACACTGTGATTTTGAAAACTGAGGAACCTGCAACTCATCATTACCTGTGAACATCTT